AAAATTTGTTGACATTGAACTAAAGTTTAAAAAACTAATTTGTGGCTCAAGATATTGTAGTAGCTGTTGGGTTAACTGTGAGGATAGGTGAGTGTACAGACAATACCTGGTGGCAGGATGGAAGAGGGCAGGCAGACAGTACAATGGTTGTAGTAGGTACAGGACGTTACCATGGCAGGATTATAAGAGGGCAGGCAGACAGTACAATGGTTGTTGTAGGTACAGGACATTACCATGGCAGGATTATAAGAGGGCAGGCAGACAGTACAATGGTTGTAGTAGGTACAGGACGTTACCATGGCAGGATTATAAGAGGGCAGGCAGACAGTACAATGGTTGTTGTAGGTACAGGACGTTACCATGGCAGGATTAAAAGAGGGCAGGCAGACAGTACAATGGTTGTAGTAGGTACAGGACATTACCATGGCAGGATTATAAGAGGGCAGGCAGACAGTACAATGGTTGTTGTAGGTACAGGACGTTACCATGGCAGGATTAAAAGAGGGCAGGCAGACAGTACAATGGTTGTTGTAGGTACAGGACGTTACCATGGCAGGATTATAAGAGGGCAGGCAGACAGTACAATAGTTGTAGTAGGTACAGGAAGTAACCATGGCAGGATTAAAAGAGGGCAGGCAGACAGTACAATGGTTGTTGTAGGTACAGGACGTTACCATGGCAGGATGGAAGAGGGGCAGGCAGACAGTACAATGGTTGTAGTAGGTACAGGAAGTTACCATGGCAGGATTAAAGAGGGCAGGCAGACAGTACAATGGTTGTAGTAGGTACAGGAAGTTACCATGGCAGGATTAAAGAGGGCAGGCAGACAGTACAATGGTTGTAGTAGGTACAGGAAGTTACCATGGCAGGATGGAAGAGGGGCAGGCAGACAGTACAATGGTTGTAGTAGGTACAGGAAGTTACCATGGCAGGATTGAAGAGGGCAGGCAGGCAATGGTTGTAGTAGATACAGGAAGTAATGTAATCCAGGAACACACCAAAAGATTTAAAGTGCCGAGTTAATTGTTGAAAGCTCAGATATTCTTCTCAAAGAAGTAAAACGGCTCTACCAGTTTAATTTAGAGAAACTGTGGCATGGAAAAATGAATGAAGGATTTTAATATTGAGAATTCTATATTATGAAAACCGAAGGTTGGTAAAAATCTTAAGAAAATAGGTTACTGTATATGGGTAATTATAAGAGGGAGCAAAAGTGAATATTTTTACAACCTGGCAAATTTCTAGAATAGCAAGAGCACTGTACCGAGACAAATGAATGTTAAATATATTTGTCGATTGTCTGATCTAAAAAGAGGAATGAAGCAAACGTTCATGTTGCCATCTATAGGCATGGTAATAGAAAGGATTCCAGAAATAAGAAATAAAGTAAAAGGATACATAACAGGATCTGGTCATGGTTGAATTGCAAACTTCTTGCTACCATGGTGGCCACCCTGCCCCCCCCCCCCCATTCCCCTTCCTGCCCCCCCCCCCCCCCATTCCCCTTCCTGCCCCCCCCCCCCATTTCCCGTCCTCCCACTTGTTCCTCCAAGAGTTGTAAAGTATAGAAAAGCAGGACAGAGAATATAACATCTATGCAACTACTTTAGAGACCTGGACCTAGATTCAGGAAGCTCTGTGTATTTCTTCGTAAGTGGGTTTGCTACGAAAGTTCCTAAGTGCGCCCTAAGATGCTTAGGTGCGATTCAATAAGGTATACTTAGAAAGAAAATTGTTGGTTCACCTGCGTGCCGATAGAGGTCACTACTGTGTTTCGTTTGGCCAATCAGAGCAGCAACATTCTTCATATTGAAGATTTAGCGCTGGCTTATCGGAGCTCTACTGCCTCCTATTTACGTCAAATTTTCTTATAAAATTAGTATATTTCGAAGTAAAACAATATTTTTTTCAACTTCTACAGCCAGCACCGACATTGTAGTAAACAAATATGTTGCATTTGTTGTTTACCTACGTAATTCTAAGAGATACTGTGTAGCTGTCCTTGTTGCTCGGAAGATGCGCTGACAATTATTGTATATATTTACTGAATTTACCCAAGGGCCACTAACTATCTAGTGACCTCGAAGAGGACAGAAAGCCGGCGGCTTGTTAAAGGGCCCGCCAATTGTCTTAATGATATTTTTTAGCTGGAATTTGGCATTTACGGCTTCAGCGGGTAGGCGGTTCCATGGGTTTATAGTCCTCTTGGTGGAAAAAAAACATCTGTTTTCAGTCCTACTTGAGAGAACATACTCTCCAACACTATATCTGTGATTGTCCTGTTATCAGTGACTTCATACCAAATGGTATGAGGTATTTTGAGCTCTGTAATTACTTCATACACTCAGGAATATTGGAAGATATTCTTGTGCTGCACCCAGATTTTGCCAGTGGGGGCTAATAGATCAGCATTAAGTATTGTTCTCTCCTAATTCCATGTATGACTGGCCATCCTGTGAGGTGAGGATGTTGGGTGAGCTTGTAGCTGGTTTTTGATCTACACTGTGTGGTCCTTTATACAGAATAGGGAAGCAGCACATTGCTGTGTATACCTAAACATGTTTAAAAATACTGTACATTGTTTGAGAGGAGTTTTGTAGAAACTGGTAAGAGTAATTATAATATAATGTTTCCATGATTCAGTGCTTACCTCTTGTGAAAATTGCTTAGAGTTGTTTAGTCAGAGTTGATTTGTTTTTTGTATTGAGGCTGGTATTTTCTAAATTGATTCCATGTACAGTATGTCTAACCATCCTGTGAGATGGGAGTATTAGATAAACTTATAGCTAGTTTTTATCTACACTGTGTAATATTCCATATAGAATAGGGTGGCAGCACATTGCTGTGTATACCTAATCTTCTTAATAAAAAAATCAGTAATAAAGATTTTAAATTATAGTTTGTATTATTACAAATACAGTACTGTATTATCCTTATTAAATCATGTTGACCATGGATCATTAAGATCTCATGTTGATATGTAATACAAGTCATATTTCTTTTGAACTGCTAATCCATGCTAATCATTCATTAAATTGTGCATTATGTCTCAATTTTTCACTTCCTTGGATATACTGTACAGTACAAAAAGATAGGATAAAAATAAACCAGTAATATTTCTTTCATTATATTTTTCATTTAAATAACTGCATCAATATTTTTACAGCTGACAGGATTTGTTTTCCCATACAGGTGCATTATTTGTTAAAAAAAAATTTGGTTTATTGTTACACACAATGGTGCTACATAGCCTTCCCAGCTTGGTGCCTTCTTTTAATACTTACTGATTAAAAAATAAATAATAAATACATTTTATTCAGGAAAAGTACATACAGTTGATTTACAAACATAATGTTGGATTTATAGGCAGAGCTAGTACATACAATACCTAAAGCCACTAATACTCTAGCATTTCGGGCAAGGTGTGGGGGGAAAAATACAGACTAAAACTTAATAGTAATCGGGATTAGGTATAAATTGTGTTGAAAGAACGAATAAAAAATACAAAAAGGGGGGTTAACATAGCATAAATCAGCAATTGCACATGTTGGTGAACAGCGTTGTTTAAAAAATAGCAAGACATGGGTTGACATTTAGGGGGTAAGTTAGGTTACATGGAGTTAATTAGGCAGTACTTGGTTTAACTCTTAACCTGGTTGAGAGAGGTACAGCCTTTGACATGATTCGGGAGGTCATTCCACATTCTGGGTCCCTTGATTTGTAGAGCACTTCTAGTTTGGTTACACACAGCCAAATTGAGTAACAGGAAGAGGTCTTGGACACAAATTTGTTCCATGCTAAATGTAGAGGAATCGGCCGAGTATTCCTCAAATAAAATAAGTTGCCTCAGCTTATAAGGTAAATAAAATAAGCATTTCTCAAGTAGCTGCCTCACCTCACTGCCTTACTGCTACATAGCCTTCCCGGCATGGTGCCTTCTTTTGATAATTACTTGTTCCACACCCAAATTGTATAACAGGAAGAGGTCTTGGACCCCTACTTCCCTCTCTCTTTTTTAATAATCTATATAGTCATAATTATAGCTTTAAGTATTCAATGAATAAAGTTTTGACATTTTTACCCTTTTCCTTACCTAACACCATTTGTGCAGCATATTTTTATTTTGTCTCACCCATATTTAATTTCAAAATAAAACCAAACTAAATAAATTAGAAATGGGTATGTACAGCTAGGGTATACCCTTACTACTAGGTGAACAGGGGCATTTGGTGATAGTAAATGATCCCATAAGGCAGGGCTCATCACCTTCTCTCATATTTCATGTTCACCAGTGTTTATTTACTTAATAACTACTGGTATAATATCTTGCTATTATAAAACTAATTCTATCATCAAACACATATTTACTTCAAGTTTCAAGCAGAGAATGCATATATAACTAACACGAAGGATTACTCTTCACTAGATTCACCAGCTATAATATTTTGGTCATGTTCCAATATCATAAATCGATCCCAGTGTTATGTAGTAGAGAAAAAATGACTTGTATCCAGTTTACGTAAAGCTACGAGTGGTCGAAACCACACTTAAATCCCAGAATGAACTTACGAAGGTTTTTCCACTTAGGGTAGTTAATTGAATACGGACGTAGCCGCCACGAAGGCGCTAAGACGGAAAATGCTCTTAGCTAAGAGGAAAAACCTTCGTAAGTACCTTCCTGAATCCGGCCCCTGCAAATCATTCCCTAATCATGGCAGCTTTGCTTACGTGTATTAATCTACAAGCTCAAAGACAATTAAAGAATTTTAAATGAGCATCCCCATAGGGCTTTGGGGCTCGTGGACTGTTTCATGCAAACAAAGCTGCCATGATTAAAATGAGCAGTGTTGTGTAAACAACTAGGTACTCTAGTGTAAGTGTACTGAGCAGTCAAATGCCTATTATCTCCCTGTAACATAAAGTTCACTTGTTTAAAAAATTGTAAAGATGGGGAAAATGAAAAGCATTGACACTGGTACTCATTGATGTGGTTTTTTTAGATGCTGCTTCATCCGGCCTCCTTTCAAACTGCCGTCCAAGGACTGTTCATGGCTCAGCGCCAGGCTGTGGCCTCGGAGACTCCCGGCTGTGGCCAGCACCTGTGCTTCATCGGGTCGGGACGCGAGCAGGAAGATCAGTATGTACACATGGTGGTGGCGTCCTTCCTGCAGCGCAACACACAATACATCAGTCTCGCCAAGGGAGGGTATCATGGTAAGTTGCCACACACATTGGCAAACCTCTGTTATAACTGTAATAAGACTTGATGTGCCTCTGGTAGGGATGTCTTGTCTTGGTAGCTTGTTAGTGCTTTGTGTTGACTTTACATGTACAGCACTTGTGTATGCACCAATATTTCTTGTAGTTCACTGTGGACTTTTTAAGAGGAAATTGAATAAAAGAACTTTCTATTAAATATCCAGTATTTGGCATTTTTTCCCCCAACACTTATTGCCGAAGTTGATCACTTTTTTTCTTGACCCCCCCCCCTCTCCCAGACCATCTGGAGCATATTTACCATAGTCCACAATTGCCTCTCCATTATACACTATATCTGCAATTATTCCATTTATACTGGCAATCTTTCTAATAGTTTCTCTAATTTCTGCCCCCTATCATCTGTTCCAGTGGTGGTCTTCCTGCTCTGTTTAATCAATCTAAAACGTTGATTAATGGCATTGCTGTACCATTTGTAACTGATAGTCTTCAAATAATCATATACTGTTAGTAATACACATGTCAAGCTTTCCCTACAGTCTTTACTCCATCCCCCCCCCCCCGTCCCCCATCTTTCCCCGCCACCGCCACCGCCACCACCACCATCACCACCACCACCACCACCACGAGTATCCTAAAGCATTGTCAAGTAGTTTTCACTAAACACTGAAACTATAGTTTGTCTTCCCTAATGATTATCTTTTAAGGTCTTGTGTTCCTTAGCATGTCTTATAATATAGAATTTTTTTTTAAGCTATGCTTTCTATGCATTAGCTTAATCAGTAACTGTCATCTTGATTGAACCATGAAATGCCTAATTTCCTTTGTTATAAACTTGTAACTACATGTCGTCGAAAGTTTTGGTAGTCTTGTACCTAATCTATGGTATACCCCTCTTAGTCACATTATCATTTCCATACTGGTGCAATTTTACACAAGTTTTCTTCAAATTTTATACCTCCCTTGCCTCCAGCTTAACACGCACACGCATGTACGTACGTGTGTGTGTTTGTTGCTGGGCAAGGAAGTGAATGAGATGTATGTCAAGTTTTGTGAAATGTATGATAAAGGCACAAAAAAATTTATACCAAAACAGAAGCAGAACTAGGAAACAGGATTGGTTCAACAGAAAGTGCGAGAGGGCCAGAGACCAAAAGACACAAAAATGGAATCGATACAGGAAGAGGCCAAACCCCCAAACATACCAGCGATACAAAGATGCGAGAAACAACTACACGGCAGTGAGGAGAGAGGCAGAAAGAAATTTTGAAAAGGGATTGCAGACAAATGTAAAACAGAACAGGTCTATTCTATAAATTCATAAACAACAAATTGCAGGTAAAGGATGATATACAGAGGTTGAAAATGGGAAATAGATTCATGGAAAATAAAAAGGAAATGTGTGAAACATTAAACGAAAAGTTCCAAAGTATGTTTGTACAAAATGAAATCTTTAGGGAACCAGATACAATAAGAATTCCAGAGAACAACATAGAGCACATAGAGGTGTCTCGAGACGAAGTGGGAAAAAATGCTCGAGGAGCTAAATAAGAACAAGGCAGTTGGTCCAGATGGAGTTTCACCATGGGTTCTGAGAGAATGTGCACCTGAACTCGGCATTCCTCTTCAACCGATTTTTCAGGCATCCCTGTGTACAGGAGCTGTAGCTGATGTGTGGAAACAGGCTAACATAGTTCCAATCTACAAAAGTGGAAGCAGGGAAGACCCCCTTAATTATAGACCTGTATCATTGACAAGTGTAAGTCAAAATATTGGAAAAAAATAATTAAATGGGTAGAACACCTGGAGAGAAATGATATAATATCAGACAGACAGTATGGTTTTCGATCTGGAAGATCCTGTGTATCGAATTTACTCAGTTTCAATGATCGAGCAACAGAGATATTACAGGAAAGAGATGGTTGGGTTGACTGCATCTATCTGGACCTAAAAAAAGCTTTTGACAGAGTTCCACATAAGAGGTTGTTCTGGAAACTGGAAAATTATGGAGGGGTGACAGGTACGCTTCTATCATGGATGAAAAATTTTCTGATAGAAAAATGAGGGCTGTGATCAGAGGCAATGTATCGGAATGGAGAAATGTCACAAGTGGAGTACCACAGGGTTCAGTTCTTGCACCAGTGATGTTTATTGTCTTCATAAATGATCTACCAGTTGGTATACAGAATTATATGAACATGTTTGCTGATGATGCTAAGATAATAGGAAGGATAAGAAACTTAGATGATTGTCATGCCCTTCAAGATGACCTGGACAAAATAAGTATATGGAGCACCACTTGGCAAATGGAATTTAATGTTAATAAATGCCATGTTATGGAATGTGGAATAGGAGAACATAGACCCCACACAACCTATATATTATGTGAGAAATCTTTAAAGAATTCTGATAAAGAAAGAGATCTAGGGGTGGTTCTAGATAGAAAACTATCACCTGAGGACCACATAAAGAATATTGTGCGAGGAGCCTATGCTACACTTTCTAACTTCAGAATTGCTTTTAAATACATGGATGGCGATATACTAAAGAAATTGTTCACGACTTTTGTTAGGCCAAAGCTAGAATATGCAGCGGTTGTGTGGTGCCCATATCTTAAGAAGCACATCAACAAACTGGAAAAGGTGCAAAGACATGCTACTAAGTGGCTCCCAGAACTGAAGGGCAAGAGCTACGAGGAGAGGTTAGAGGCATTAAATATGCCAAAACTAGAAGACAGAAGAAAGAGGTGATATGATCACTACATACAAAATAGTAACAGGAATTGATAAAATCGATAGGGAAGATTTCCTGAGACCTGGAACTTCAAGAACAAGGTCATTTATATAAACTAGCTAAACACAGATGCCGAAGAAATATAAGAAAATTCACTTTCGTAAACAGAGTGGTAGACGGTTGGAACAAGTTAGGTGAGAAGGTGGTGGCCAAGACAGTCAGTAGTTTCAAAGCGTTATGACAGAGTGCTGGAAGACGGGACACCACGAGCGTAGCTCTCCTCCTGTAACTACACTTAGGTAATTACACATACGCACGCACGCGAACGAGCGATGGAGGGTAAATTGTGCCTCACAGGTTTAATAGAATTCTATGACAGGCAACAAAAATTAAGCAGGAAAGAGAAGGGTGGGCCAACTGCATTTTCCTGCACTGCCAGAAAGCCTGACACAGTACCCCATAAAAGGCTGTTAAAAACGTTGGAGCAACAGGCAAGAGTAAAAGGGAAGGTGCTCCAGTGGATAAGGGAGTACTTATGCAACGAGAAACAGTGAGTAATGGTGAGAGGGGGGGGGGAGACATCAGAGTAGCGTGATGTCACCAGCGGAGTCCCACAGGGTTCGGTACTTGGACCCATCCTGTTTCTAATATGTAAACGATCTTCCGGAGGGTATAGACTCGTTCCTCTCAATGTTTGCTGATGATGCAAAAATTATGAGAAGAATCGAGATGGATGAAGATGGACAGAGACTACAGGATGACCTGGACAAACTGGAAGAATGGTCTAGAAAATGGCTGCTAAAGTTCAACTCGGGAAAGTGTAAGGTAATGAAATTAAGCGAAGGGAGCAGGAGGCTGAACACAAGGGTACCATCTGGGAGGTGAAATCCTGCAAGAGTCAAAGATCTGGGGGTTGATATCACACCGAAACTGTCCCCAGAGGCCCACATCAAAAAGATATCAGCAGCATATGCTAGATTGGCCAACATAAGAACTGCCTTTAGAAACTTGTGTAAGGAATTGTTCAGGACCCTGTATACCACTTATGTCAGACCAATCCTGGAATATGCAGCTCCAGCCTGGAGTCCATACCTAGTTAAACACAAGACAGTTAGAGAAGATTCAGCGGTATGCCACCAGGCTCATCCCGGAACTGAGAGGTATGAGCTACGAGGAAAGGCTGAAGGAGCTGAACCTCACGTCCCTGGAAAACAGAAGAGTAAGGGGAGACATGATAACCACCTACAAAATTCTCAGGGGAATTGACAGGGTGGACAAAGACAAACTCTTCAGCACGGGTGGGACACGAACAAGGGGACACAGGTGGAAACTTAGTACCCAGATGAGCCACAGAGACGTTAGAAAGAATTTGTTCAGTGTCAGAGTAGTTAATAAATGGAATGCACTAGGCAGTGATGTGGTGGAGGCTGACTCCATACACAGTTTCAAATGTAGATATGATAGAGCCCAGTAGGCTCAGGAATCTGTACACCAGGAATCTTCTGCATCATCACACTGAAGTCACACTGCTGCAGGCTCCAGGATAATTAGTTATCTAAGTGTTGGGAGTAGGATGAGGGTTGCAAGTGGTGTCCCAGAATACATGAAGGTGTAGGGTGAGGGTTGCTAGTGGTGTCCCAGAATACAGGAAGGTGTAGGGTGAGGGTTGCAAGTGGTGTCCCAGAATACAGGAAGGTGTAGGGTGAGGGTTGCTAGTGGTGTCCCAGAATACATGAAGGTGTAGGGTGAGGGTTGCTAGTGGTGTCCCAGAATACATGAAGGTGTAGGGTGAGGGTTGCAAGTGGTGTCCCAGAATACATGAAGGTGTAGGGTGAGGGTTGCTAGTGGTGTCCCAGAATACATGAAGGTGTAGGGTGAGGGTTGCAAGTGGTGTCCCAGAATACATGAAGGTGTAGGGTGAGGGTTGCAAGTGGTGTCCCAGAATACAGGAAGGTGTAGGGAATTTGAAAATAACATAAGAGATAAAATATAAGTGTTAGTGAAAGAAAAATCTTGGGTAGAAAAGTTGATCTTTCAAAACAGCAGAAGGTAAACAAAAATGGCCGCCACCACAGGGGAGGACAGTACCCCAGCAAAGGGATCTTTTGCAGGTTTCTCAACAAGATGCAATGAAAGGTGGTTGTCTTGGCAGGTTAGTGATCATTGAGGACTTGCTAAAGAGTTATGAAGACAAGTTTATTAAATTGGAACAAGGAAAAAAAGTCTCAAGATAGTTTTGTAATTTAAAAGGAAGCTTTTTCCAG